GGGCTCCGTGTTCACCTGCAGCGCCTCCGCTGCTATAGCGGAAAGACACCGAGGCAGAAGGGAGGCTGTTTATTAAACAGCAAAACTGGGAGATAAAAATCATCAGTCTTAGATACTTTACTTGCAGCAGTTACTTGTTGCAAAAGTAGCGAGATGAGCCTTTCCCACTCCTCCTGGAGCGCGCCTAACTCCTGCTGCAGCTTGGAATGAAAAGCCTACAAAAGCTGCAGAGTTAAACCTACTTTCAACCACTTATTTTACGAAACAAACTCTTCCAAAATCCCGTCGATAAGGCGGTGGCAGCTGCCGCTCTGTGAGGTTTACGCATGGCCAGGCGGCGAAGCGTAGGACAAGCATGGCCGAGGTCAGGCTGGCGGCCTGGCGGCGAGGGAAGCCTCCCCAGGGCCATCAGCGCTTGAGGCCATTGTTCGCCTCCCTGCCAGCCCACGGGCGTCCTCTTCCATTATGTCATTCTTGTAACAACTGTAACTGGTTGGTACATGCCAATAGCTATGCGTATTGAACATGGAGTGCTGAGCTTTGATTAAACACTGCTTTATGATGGGAGAATAAAAAAAAATCAGCTAAGCGATACCTTACTAACAGTAGAATAAATGGTGTTCTTGTATCTGAGAAATAGCATTTTGTAGCTACTACATTTTTTTCTTCTCTAACAGCTGTTCCTGCCTGCTTGATTTTATTCATTACAGCTTGGATGTGGTGTGGCAAGCTGATTTCAAACTTGAAAAATTCTCATGGATCATGACAGAAACGGTAGTCCATGATATGTGTGCGTTTATCTTTCTCATTCCTTGGAAGACTATATATTTTTTGTTTCTCCAGCTCAGAATAGCTGGCCTCATCTATGTAGTTTTTACAGCAGTGTAAATAAATACCATTTAACTTACTCTCTTACTTCATCAACAGGTACTGATCGTATCTGTTGATACAATACAAATACAAGTTGGGGTCGCATTTCCTGTTAGCAATTAAGTTGCCCTGCACAGTTCCTTATGCAGCGTGACGATCCCCTTTTGAGGCATGAAATCATGTCGGAAAGAATCACAATTTCTTTAGGATTTGGCATGAAAAGTTATGAGCAAGTTAAACACATTAGGCCCTCCAGTGTCACCCAAAACCAGAGCAACATAGTTTCAGTTTCTCTTTACATCTTTTTGCTTCTGTCTGCTTGCTGAGTCTACCAAACACCTACCGACCCATCCTTCCAGCCCCCAGAGAACCCTCCCAAAACCGAACAAAAAATCCCACAGGCCTGGGGGAAAAAAGAAAAAACAAGAAGAAAAAGAAAGAAGTACTGGATATTAAAAATCACATACCCAGTAGAAATACCGGTTTTCTGATACTGTACCATTAACCTCGCATCTGCTTCCTACAGGCCTCTCGCTGTTTTACAGGCAATAATGGGGCACACTCCTCCACTCAACAGCAGCTAACAGCCTCATCTGGACCCCTGCAAACAGCTCGCTCTAAACATTAGATGAAATTACCTCATTGAACTCAACTTCTGGGAGCTTGGGGGGGGGGGGGGTTGGTGTTGGGTGGGGGGGGGGTTGGTGTTGGGGTTTTTTTCAGCTAAGCACCAGCTATTCTAACCAAAAGTAATACCATTCCCTACAAACTTTGTCTCGCTCAAAGCTAGCAGGTGTTTTGCATTTGGCCAAGTAGCAATTGGTAGTTTTCAGCAATGCTGGTAAGGTCTTCTAACCATTAGTCATTCATTTGCTTGACACGAATACACTGTGATTAAATGAACCACACTTTGATTGAAAAAGAATGCTTTCCTCATTGCTATCTAAGTGCTGCTCTTAATTACTATTTTTTTCCTGAGTATACCTATATCAGTACTAAAAAAACCCTCTTCACCTTTTTTCTCTCTATTGTATTTAATGTTACCCATCAATTTTGTTACACCTCTTTTAGAAACACTTTGGGATCTTTCTGCAGATTATCTTTTGTTTTTTAATGTTGAATTTCTATATCCTGATAATCACATTTTCACTGTTACCAAGGTGTGCTCATTTCTGCATTATTCTCATCTCAAGACAGTTGTATTTCTATTACGTTATTTGCAGGTTACACCCTCTGTATTATTTTATTTATTTATGGCGTGGGATTCCCAGTAGTGAATTTTTCTAGCTTGATTGACTCTTTGCTGTAAGCAATTTCACATTTTCCTCTATGCAGATTGATGCTGTGACTGATGCCAGAGGTGCTCTAGATTATTAGTTTATTTCTATCAGGAGTACTCGTGGCAAAACAGCTGCTGCTGTGACTGGAGTTGGTGGAGTATTAAAAGATGTGCTCTCATCTTAGATGTACTGACATATTACAAGGAAAGAGTTGCTTCGTGTAATTACAGCAAATTACAGGAATCAGAGCCGTGATTCTGGGAGCACTGTAGACACTTCTTGTCAGAGTTCAAGTCTGAGTGCGGTGTTACGCGCTGATGTCCAACGCATTCTGTTAGTGGTCTATGTAAAGGGCTCAAAGTTAGAAAGTTGTTGTTTTTCCCAACTAAGCAAGCAATCAGATATGAAATATCTTATGGAATGTTAATTAGTTACTTTTATTGCTACCAATATCAAAGTCTTCAAATAAATGGAATTTTAACTTTTTTTTAGTGGACGCTTATGAGAGGTATTCATAATCCAGTCCTTGCTGGAAAATATTTTTAAAACTCCTATTGGTTTCAATAACAGGATAAATTTGTAAGGCTCTGTAAGGACAGATGATTAGACTCACTGTATCTAGTTTTTCACTCATTTTTGGTGATCACCAGTAGGGGACAGAAGAGCAGCCATGATACGGTGACCGATGGCAAGCTTTTGTTGATGCAGGTAGCTGGGTAACCTCCAGATACCCGACTGAAATACCCCACCCATCTTTTCAGCTGCCCCGTGTCCAGCCCCACATCAGGCGATGCTTACACCATCTGGTTTTAACCATCAGAGTAGCTCAATTAGGTTAGGGTGGTGGATATGACTCATATTTCCCTACCTCTATCAAAACAAGATACAGAGGCGGAACCTACAACGTGTGCAATGCAGTGCATACTGTGAGGACAAAAGAAAATGTATATACCATATACTATTATGTGTAATACCAAATTGATTAATACTGCAGCGCGTTCTCTGTTAGAGGACGTCCTGAGAAAGTGGCTCTTACGTGCTACCAGTATTTCCGTCCTTTAGCTGGAGAGTGAGGCTGGTTAGTGGGACGCAGGACTGTCATGCTTTCCGTTACCTTTGGAGTTGGGGAAGATCATTTAGGCTCCTATGGCTTGCTGAGTCAGCTTTGTTCCCATTTCTTGTGACTTGCACGCTCGTGCTGCCTTGCAGTGCTTTTCTACTTGACCATCAGATGGCTCATTTGTGAACTGCCGTCAAACTGTTCAGTTCTAACCAGTTTTGGGTAGGGCGTGGGTAGCTATCATCAGCTTGGAAGTGTCATATCAGGAGTCTAAGAATATTTGGTACATGAGAGCTGTGGGGACTGTAAGGTGCTGATGCACCCACTGCTTCCCTGAAAACAGAAAAGCAGCAAACATTTTTTGAAGAAGCTGGCACAGACTTACCCGAGCAAAGAGGTCTTGTACTAACTTGACCAAGTTTGGCTGAAAATCCTGTAGAAATAATGAGCTGAAATGATTTTGACTAGACAATTGATATTTGTCCTTCAGCGAGGTTAAAAATAATTGTGAGCGTCATCTAGGTGTCATTATTTTTTATGTATGTCTATATGTGCTATTTCTTTAACATTTCAGAATGATTTATCAAATTAGGCCCATAAGCTGCTAAACTTCAGACCACTTCTATTTTGGAATATGTTATTAGTAGTGTGTTCTCTATTCTAAGTTATCCATAACCACTTTCTAATTACAATTTTTATATTTTTCTTTCTCAAAAATACTGTTCTACTTACAACTAAAACCACATATGTAAAA